TGGGAAATTAGAAGAGGCACCAAGAAGCTACTATCGAATTACCTACTCTGGGAGAAGTGAAAATAATTTAACTCCTTTTCATTTCTTAACCAAATTAGAAAAATGGAAAGGTTTTAAAAGGAGATAAGCTCAAAGAGGAGAGTAAAGTACATGGTCATGTTATTGAAGAAAATATGCAGGTGAAGAAGGGGAAGAGCAGAATGTCATTCTTTTGAGACATAAACTAGACATTTTTTTGCTTTCATTTTTACATACCTATCCTGTCTCTCATATATCATTCGTGAAATTATTTTTATTCCAAAAGCCAAGAAACAACATATAGAGAAACTGTATTCCCTTAGCAAAGGCTTAATATAATTAAAAAAACTCAAAGGAATATCCTTTAAAAAGATAAAACTATGAGATCTGTTAAATCAAAATTGTGGTTGTAGATTAAAAAGGTGAACTCAAATAAAATCTTTTAAAAAATAAAAAGGTGGCATGTAAAAAAGGAAGCAAAGTGTTCGTGTCCGTGCATGGAGTTACTTAGCTAAGTCTATCATTCATATTTTCCAAAACTCTGAACCAGGAGCATTATGAGGTCCCGACAACTGGACCTCTTCATGAACATTAGGAATTTGACAGTTGGGATGGGATGACAGAGCAGAGCCGCCTTTGAAGCCAGCTGTCAACAAGGACATGACATTTTCCAAAATTTCAAATAACTACAGCTATTAGTTTTCAGTAGAAGATACTAATTATAACATTGGGGAGAGAGGACATTAACCCCTTAAACATCGTCAAACAAGCATTTTAGTTGTGAAAATGGTATAAATAGCATTAAAACCTGCCTATGCAAATATTAATACCTAGCTAATGAAATTGGGTTTGAAAAATGTAGTTTTTCTTGCCACTTCTGCATTTACTCTACTCCTTTTATTATCTTGCCATTTTATCACATCAATCCCTTATCAGTGCCATATCTACTTTCCCTTAGAAGAGGGTGAATGGAATAGTTACCTGAAATTTCTGTTCCAAGCTCTTTCGTGAGAGCAGGTTCGTATAAAAATCAATGCAAACAGCAAGATGATGTGCAGAATCGATTTAAACCAGGTAGCATACCTAAAATAACTTAATTAGGCTCTAATTCCTTTTAACTGCAAAGCCAGAAGCCCAGTGGTTTATTTTCTTAGCTGTATTGGATGATCTTGGAAAGGTGAGAATCTGAGCAGAGGGTATATGCATGAAATTATAGTAATTTAAGCCACTTAAAAGGGAAAAGATGCTAAATTTTCTTCAGCTGTCACCTTTCAATCATGATTTGCTTTGGATTTCATACCTGGACAGGCATCATTTAACCTCCTAGAACCAGACAGATGCTTCCTTGTGGCGGGAGCCCATTTCTGCTCTTGCCACAATGGTTGATCAGTATTGCCATAGACCTTAGATCTGTCCCCCTTCAGAGGCTTTTGGTTAAGACCCCATTAGAAGTAAGCCATCCAGTGCCAAATGGCTGTCTTGACAATGTTCAACTGGCCTTGTCAGACACGTTTATTTTGCACTGAAGCCAGATTTCTCATTAAGTATTACAGTCATCCTGTGAATCTGTTATGTGATTCACTATTAAAGATGGCAGGACTGTGAGTATCTCCAGCTGCTGGCAGACCCATAGGTCGACCAGAATACCAGGCTCCGTAATTCTGTGCGGCTCTGGTTGATCTTGAGCCATTCCCATTTGTGTTTTTCTCAGATGATTTGAAAGCTTAAGCGTGGAGATATTTTTCTATTTTTCTCCCTGGAATAACTCATTTCTCAAGTTTTACTATTAGTATTTGAAGGTAAACTGAAAGGCTTCTCTGCTTAAATATCTGAACACAATGGAAGACGTTCTCTAATGCAAATTTCTTATCCTTGTTGTCTGTTGTTTTAAATTTTGGCAGCTTAGCTAAGTATTACCTGCAGTAATAAGTTCCTGTTAGATTTCAATGTTTTACTTCTAAAATGGCATGTTATGTCATAGCAGTCAAGGGCTATGGAGAATTTCTGTAGTCTGACTTATTAAAAAAATGTTTGCATAATAAGGACCTGGAATTATGAGAAATGTCCTCCATTTGTTAACATTTCTGTACAGAAAAGACTTGAAAAACAGAAAACAAAATATTTAGATATTATGTGGTTAGTAAATTAGTTTTAAAAGCAGCCATACAAGTGACATGTTAATAAGCCAATATATAACACACATA